CATCTAGAATCAAAATAAAATTTTTCTTCCATTTTTGTTTCCCAAATTTTTATATGGTACTGAAATTCAGATGAAGAAGCAAATGAATGTCATTAGCATCTCCCGGGGACAGGGTGGGGGGGGGGAATAATATTTGCCTTAATTGCCTTATCTGGAATCTGGTACAGTGAGGGAAGCTACCTAACAGAGTTGTTGTAAAAATTAAAGGAAGCAATGTATGGATACCTGAAGCTCTGATCACAGCATTTGGTATGCAGTTAAGGACTCAGGATGTTCGCAATTAAAGTATTACTATTTACCTCATTAGCATTATTATTATCATTATTTGGGGCACAGCAGAACAATAGGCCTGTGAGAATGACAGAAATTAGCAAGACGGTCTCTCACGACTCTGTCTTCATGCTTTTCCCCCCATGGCCTGCCTCTGGACACCCCAGCGTCTGCACAGTCATTTCCTCCTATCAGATTGTAGGTTTTAGATAGGGCTTCTGTGCCTTATCTGCAATTCTCTCTGTTGGGTGGACCCAAAACAAAGCCTTTCAGAGGAGGAGCCTTCAGTAAAATGCTGAATGATACTTTTCCAAAATGAGCATGAAGACTATGAAATGAGGCTCAAAAGCCTCTGGCTTTCTCACCATCATTAAGATGTTAATTTTCATGGCAGGTAAGCCATTTTGGGGAAGGTTGCACACATCAATAGGTTACTGGACGGAGCCTTTTGATACTTCAGGTAGTTAAACTTGTAATGTTTCCTTAGAGGACATAGATGATTCCCAGATTAGAAGACAGACACCTTCTGATCTCTAGGGGATATGGGAGGATCTAAAGAAATGGTCCTGGAAAACACGTCCATCAGGTATCAAGCACAGCCCCACCCGGATGATCCAGTGGCAGGATCACTTAGATAATCATGCAGCATATACTTTATTGAGTAAATCCTTCATTTCAGGCCCAGTGTTGAACCAAGCAATACCATGAAATCCTGTTTAAAAACCTGCAGTCTCCTCCCTCCTACCCCACCAAACCAACCACCTAATGAGAAAGAATATTACTACGTTCAGATAAAGGAAATATAGCTCAGGGTGTTTAAGTGACTTGCCCCAATATCACACTCATAAGTGACAGAGGAAGGAATTAAACTTCACCCAAGTCTCCAAGATCCAGGGCTCATACACTTTCCCTGATGCATCTCCCTGGCTCCTGGGACCACTTGCAGGGTCCCCAAGATTCATTGCTGGTGATCACATCCCAGTGGCAGGGGCTGGCCAGTCTGTCCCCTTATTGTCCATCATGCTACAGTTAAGAATCAGAGTTAGCTTTGTTGGCTCTCCTTCTGGCCATCACTTAAATTGTGGCATCTGGTCTGTGCCTTCTTAGGAATGGTCAAGGCCCACAACACTCAGGGTGCAAAGGATCACAGGAAGGAGATTTGTGGTGTGGTGTGTCTTTTAATAGTTTCCTTTTTAGAATCGCCCCCCAACTTTTTTTCCTTTTTTTTTTTTTTTGGTTACAGCTGGGGTAGGGTGGGGGGCATTGATTCTGACTCACCACACACTTTGAGAGGCTCTGACTCATCTCAGCTCTGGTGTTCTTCCAACTCTGTTCAGAACACTGTGGGTGCCCTTCCCCAGCTGCCCAGGAGCAGCCAGACCCGTTCAGATGTGCTTGCTTCAGCCCTAAATGACACCAAGTTCATTAGTAAATTAGACACACACACAAGAATCAAAGACTCCCCAGCAACCAACAGGGCTTAGGCAAGTTTTAGACTGCGTTGAAGCCAAGATTAATGTGCAATACCATTAGAATGAATTAACTGCTTTGCATTCAAGCATGCAGTTTACAACCACATTGGTAATATTATTGATAGTTAAAGGTTTATCTTAAAGTTTAAAAACTTAAAAAAGTTACCTATAAATATTAAATGTTAGTTGAAACTTAACCATAACTTTTTAAAGTTAAGTATAAGTTGAAAGAAATAAACTTCTCTGTATTCATTATTCTATAGCGCTGTATCATAAAATATCCGTCCTAACTTGGGGAATTTGTAAGAGATCACATTTATCAAAAGAAGCAAGCTTTAACTGCTTAACTGCTTAAAGAATTACCCTTTGGCTATTCCCAGATAGTAAATGGCAGGTGTTTCTTCAAGTACATAAAGGGCTCCAAGTTCATTTAATTGTTCCTGATTGCTATTTTAATCACTATGCAGTGACTCCATTTCAAAAAAAGAATTTTGCATTTGGTAGAATTTGGGTGTTACACTGTCTTTTCTTTCCAGGAGGCTGTTCTGGTTCATCCTCCAGCAGAAGCTTTTCCCTGCTCACTTATTGTCAAGAGTGCTTTGCTGCTGACTCTAACTTGTAAACCTTCAATTTCCAGCATGTATCATCTCTGTGAGGTGGTTTTTATATTATATCAAAAATGGTCTCATCTGATAGTGAGTACCCTGCACAACAGCAATGAACAACTTCCTTTTGGGGAAAGTTGGCTTTCTCTCCACTTCTAAGAACAGATGTTTGTGCGTTTTGACGAACCCCCATCCAGCATCTCTGACTTGCCTCCTTTGACATCAAGCTTCTTGTTTCCTAACACCTTCCACTTTAACTTCCTGTACCTTTGCAATGCCGATTTGTAAAGATAGAGTTATAGGCGGATAGTAGGATTTCTGTTACCTCCCTTGGGCACATTTTAAAAATGTTTCCTAGTAATTTGTGTTCTGCAAGAAATGAAACTGAGCCACAGTTCTGCAGAAACTTGATAATGTCCTCCCTCGAGGACTCTCCATTGCTCAGCCTCCTGGGGACCAGCACAGAGATCTCTCCCCCACCCCCCTTGAGGGCCCTCAGCTCGTATATTTTAGATGTCTTTGGAACCAGGGAGTTTGGTAGGACAAAGGATGTTTTAAGGATTTAAAGAGAAAAGAAGCCGCCTACATTGAACTCATTCCCGTGCCGATGTTATTCCAGTTCCTGCCTCTGACACCGCATGTGTTCGGGCTTTTAGCAGGAATTGTTCTCCCAGCTTTGCTCTGAAATGTAAAGCCCCATTGCCCACTGCAAGTCTTAATGAAAAGCAGCTCATAAGCAAGTTACGTAACCTAATTGTAATCCAGGGATCAGCTTGGTTATATTATTTAAAGAAATAGCATCCATTTTCTGTGACCTGATTTAGAAAAGAAACCGAGGGAAGAAAAAAAAAATACCCACTTCAGCACTCGGCTCCCTGCGCTCATTCTAATGAGAACACTTGTAAATAATTCAGAAAACAATGACTTTTAAGAACATTAAACCCAACTTAGCTCAGGGTTCTATCTCAAAGCAGCTTTAGCTGCTTAAAGCAAGTGACAAATGATCATGAAATACGGAGCTTATTTTTGCAGACGATTTAGTCATTTAGTGAGTTTAATTTCCTCATCAGCTCCACACACGCGGAGCCGGATAGAGGCACGATGCTAGGGAATGCTGAGATGCCCGAGCCCTGCTCTCAGGAAGCTTACAGTCTGGTTAGGGTCAATAATGATGTACCATCACCGGCTCAGTCATTGGAACAAACGTACTATAGTAATGTAAAATGTTAACACTAGGGAAAACAGGGTTGTTGTTGTGGGGGGGTGGGGGGGGTTTGCAGCAATTCTGTGCCATTTTTGCAACTTTTTTTTTAAATCTAAAACTATTCTAAAATTAAAAGTTTATTTTTAAAAACCTGGATAGGGAAACAGTTGGGTACACAAATAGAAATGCATCCATGCTTATTGCCTGGTTTATAGAAATAAAACCAGGCCTACCTAATAGGCAGCTTCGTAAGTACTACGATTGCTTAATGAACTTCAGAAGCACACAACTGGATTAATCATAATACTGATTGATGTTAATAGTGTGCCATGAGTCAAGGACTATGATTAGTTCTTTGGTCTTTTCATAAACCTCATTTAATTGATTGATACTGTATGTATTATAATAATATACTAAACCTCCCAGACCCACCTTTCAACCCAAGAGCTAAAAGGCCCCCATGACTTACATTAACTTATGCCTTCTTCTTCCATCGCATCCCCCAACTGTCCCCTCAGTAGTAACCACTCTCTTAAATTCTGCTTCTGTCATACCCTTGCTTTTCTACACATTTTATTACACATATGTTTGGGCCTAAACTTTATGCAAGCTTTATTTGCTTTTGAATTTACATGTTGTCTTCTGGGACTTACTCTTCTGGCTCAACATTATGTTCCTAAGATGTATTAATAATGTTATGATTATAGTTCATTCTTTTTCGCTGTCATATAATATTCAACAGCAGGAATGTACCACAATTTATTTCACCATGTCCATCGGTGGTTTCTAAATTTTTGCTATTACAAATGGGTTCTGCCACAAACACTCACATGTGTCTCCTGGGAAATGGGTGCTGACATGGCCATTGGACTAGAGCTTTATGTGATGGAATGATCTTTTTTTTTTAATAAAAAAAATTGTGTTTACTTAGAAGCATTCAGAATGTCAACAAAACAGCTGCAACTTTTTTTTTTTTGCAATTACAGAGTGGTATTCAGTTAACAGAACAACAATTATTTCGTAGAAGCTGCATCAGAGACAACTGAAGATGAAAAACTACCATCCCCATATATAACTAATTTGTGCTATGCACCAACAAGAACCTGCTTTAAATTTCCATGCCAATTTACAACCCCCAAACTGTACCAGGCAAGGTTAGTGGCTATTGAAAATACCACCAGGGGCGCCTGGGTGGCTCAGTCGTTAAGCGTCTGCCTTCGGCTCAGGTCATGATCCCAGGGTCCTGGGATTGAGTCCCACATCGTGCTCCCTCCTCAAGGGGAAGCCTGCTTCTTCCTCTCCCACTCCCACTGTCTCTGTCGAATAAATAAATAAAATCTAAAAAAAAGAAAATACCACCAGGACAGGGCTATCTAAAGACACATTCAGTAGTGTGTTAACTATACAAAAAAAAAAAGTAAGATTAAAAACAAATCTTACATAGCCTTGCATTGCAATTTTTTTCTTTAAAAGGAGTGAGTTGTGTACAGGGGGGTTAAATGCTTTATAGACAAGAAAAAAAACTGCGCTAGAACCAACTTATTCATCATCATCATCTTCTTCATCTTCATCTTCTTCATCTTCCTCCTCCTCCTCATCCTCTTCATCTTCCTCATCTTCCTCCTCTTCCTTCTTTTTCTTGCTCTTTTCAGCCTTGACAACTCCCTTTTTTGCCGCATCAGGCTTTCCTTTAGCTCGGTATGCAGCAATATCCTTTTCATATTTTTCCTTCAGCTTAGCAGCCTTCTTTTCATAAGGCTGCTTGTCATCTGCAGCAGTGTTATTCCACATCTCTCCCAGTTTCTTTGCAACATCACCAATGGATAGGCCGGGATGTTCTCCTTTGATTTTTGGGCGATACTCAGAACAAAACAAGAAAAAGGCCGAAGGAGGCCTCTTAGATGCATTGGGATCCTTGAACTTCTTTTTTGTTTCCCCTTTAGCGGGGATGTAAATTTTCATTTCTCTTTCATAATGGGCCTTGTCCGCCTTTGCCATGTCTTCAAATTTTCCTTTCTCTTTAGCAGATATGGTCTTCCACCTTTCTGAGCACTTCTTAGAAGACTCTGAGAAGTTGACTGAAGCATCTGGGTGCTTCTTCTTATGCTCCTCTAGGCAAGTTTGCACAAAGAATGCATATGATGACATTTTGCCTCTTGGCTTCTTAGGATCTCCTTTGCCCATGTTTAATTATTTTCCTCAGCGAGGTACAGAGTCGCCCAGTGCCCGTCTGGCTCTCACTTGCCCCGGCACTGTCTCTATGGAGCTCAATGTACTGCAATGGCTGTCGTGACTGAACGATCTTAAAACAGCATGAGAATCAAAGCTTAGCAGTTCACCTACAGAGATTACATCATGTGTGTCCAGGGAAGAGCATATAATATGAATTATTCACCTTTCATGCAAAGCATAACAGGAATGATACACTAATTCCATGTCAGTTGAGATTTGATTTGGCTCTACCATGAAAAATAATATTGGCCTAAATATCCACGTTGCTCTCACGTAAAATATCCAGAGATGAGAGGCCTACAACTGGCATGGCAAGGTCCACAAAGTTGTCATGGATGCTGACTTCTTCCAGCTTTCCAGTTTGCTATCCCGACAGTATGACCTTTGTCTTCATAATCCAAAAGGACTGCTCAACTTCTAGCCCTTATATCTGCTTCTTAGTCAGTAAGAAGGAGAAAGAAAGGGGAAAAAATACATCTTCCATTCAAGGATCCTTCCCCCAAATTGCACATGACATTTCTAATGACATCCCATCAACCAGAATGTAGACACATGGCTCAAACCTAGTTTCAAGAGAGGCTGTAAAATGTAGGGTTTATTCTGGGCATCCCTGTCCTCAGCTAAAAATTATATTACTAAAGAAGAATGGGAAAAGGGACTTTGAAGACAATTAGCAGTCTCTGAGAAAATTATCACAGCTAAAGTGAGAGCAGAAAGGAAACCAACCCAACAAAGATTTATGTTGAAAAGTATAAAGAAAAAATAAACACTGATAATATCACCACCCAGTGGTTACCATCATTAACTTTTTGAGATATATTCTTCCACACTTTTTCATCCATATATACAACCAGTGTGTCCATAACTATACCTATATTTCTATAAATGTATCCACACATTACTTTTAAAGGGACTATTTTAATCACTGCAGTAAGTCAAAGGGAAAGAGAGCCAGGTTGTTTTTCCCCCTTTAAACTCTTAATAAACTTCATGGGAAAAGCAGGATTGGCGTAACTATAGGAAAGAGGAGAGTGTGTCCTATAGTTGCGTGTCTATATGTCTCAGAGTTGCTAATTGCAAAACAAATTCAGCTGCATACAGTGTACTCTGGAATAAGGTTTTAAAGGTGAATTTAAAAGAAAAATGATTAGCCATCCCTGAAAAAAGTACAGGCATGTCTTCAATAGGGAAAGTGGCCAGAAAAATTCACGGACACAAGAAATCGGGGGAAATCCATCAATAGTATTTCCTAGACCATAGGTAGGGAGAACAAGTATCAATAACTATTACTCCTAAGCATGCCCTACCAGATGAGCACAAGAGAGGCTCTTTGGGGATCTATTCTCTATAAAAGAGTCTCCTAGATAGTGAACCAACATGGCATATGAACTTGGTCAAGAAAAAGGACAACTATATAGAGCTGCAAATTCACTCAACAAACCTACTGGGACTATGTTCCCGTCTTCATAGAGACCATAGTACAGTAGGGGAGACAGAGAGGTGCCTGTAAAGATAAGTGGACATTTACTATATGCCAGACACCATACTAAGCACTTTACATGCATTATCAAGTGTAATATTTATAACAGTCTATTTTTATTCTTCTCCCCCTTTGACACATGAAGAAAATAAAGCTATAGGGTAGGTAACTTGGTTGAGGTCAACAAAGCTAGTAAGTGGTGGAGCTGAGATCCCGCCCCAGGTCTATCAGATTTTAGAGCCCCTGCTCCGGACAACCCAAGTAGTTAATGTTACAACAAAAGTTTGCACAAAATTCTGAGGGAACACATTAAAAAGCATCAGATACCTGCCAGGGAAAAACTTGTAAAGCAGCACAAGAATGAAAAAATGTGAAGTATAAATATAATGTCAGCAGTGTTGAAATAGAGATTAATGTAAGCATCGATAAACAAATGGAAAAGACAAGATCTACACATGGGAGCCTAGTGAGCCTAGATTTTAGTAGCAGCCCTTTTGAGTTTTGTGAGTCACTACATAATTCCATCCTATATCATCTAATATCTTTACCCCTGTTTTAGTAGTTACTCATGTATTGACACCCTTTCTTCTTATCAAGCTATTTTTTCTGTGAGTTGTCTCCATATGTAGATTATTGGCCATAAAAAGCAAAATGCAACATGTTTGATTCTTTATCCCTAACAGAGGTACACACTAGCATACTAGGCACACAGTATATGTATGAGTTGAAGTGATATCCACTTATTTAAGGTTGATTCAAAGAGGTCAATATAGAAGATATGCAAAGAAGATCCAATATACGAATAATAGGGAGGCCCTGAAGAATAAAAACAAAACATTAAAACAGAAGAAATATTTAAAATTAGAATCCAAGAAAAAATGTCTAGAAATAAGAGAAGATTTGAATCTACGTATTGAAAGGAACATTCAGAGATGAGAAGGAGATTAGGCAGGGACCAAAGCATGTTGGTCCTTGTAAGCCACTGTAAGAAATTTAAATTTTGTTCTAAGTGCAATACGAATCCTTTGGAGGACTTTAATCAGAAGCACCATTGCTTACACAAAATGGAGAAGTAAAAATGTGTGTGGCCCTGAAGAAAAAATGAAATATGAGAATTAAGCCATGGTTTTACTTTACAACATGAGGCCTTTCTGCTTCCACGTTAGCTGTGGCAATCTCTTACATTCCTTCATGCATGGGACCCCCCCTCCCTTTCTTCCCACTTATCAGAATTCTACCCATACCCAACCTTTTTGGCATAAAGAATTGGGAAACTAAGAATACCAAGCAATTTAGGGATTATGGGTGTGAAATGAGCACTAAGTTGTTGAGATAAGCTTAGAAAACATTTCCAGATGATAGGCACAGGAAGTGACTGGGTAATCAGAAACCTGTTGCTAAGGTAGAACAAGCTAAAATTACAGTGCAGGGTTGGGGAGGAGAGGGTATGAGGAGGAATATTCAGGAAACAGAGCTTGGGATAAGGCCTAGAACTCTTTATGTTCAGCATACCCTGGAGTATCAACGTGTCTATTCAAGAGAATGGAATCAGAGAAATAAACAATCAGGAAGATTTTAGAAGAAAAAAATTGATGCTTTGCATAGAAACCCATACTTGGGTGAGTGGAGAAATTTTAGGGGCTTCCCTGTCAAACTTTTGTCATTTTAATATCACTGTTATCTTTTTCTTGTAGTCTCTGAATTCTTAATTTTTCATTCTCTACCTCTCAGATTGTATGTAATTTTCTATAAGATTAAAATTCTCATGTGGAGTGTTTTGGTGCTGACAGCATGGGATATTAAACTATTGTGGACCAACTTTCACTACAAATATATTAAAATGCTGTACAAAATCATACAAAAAATTTAGTCAAGATTGAGAGAAAGAAAGGAAGAAAGGGAAACTTTATCAAGAACAAAAAGTGGATTCAAAATCAGAGCACTAGATTTCAATTATCCTGTAGTAACCTGGCAAAGTGGGATACTGAACTTTGATATAAGGCATAGGGCTGGAGGCTGGGAATTGGACATCCACAAAGGGAAAAATACATGACCCTCAACTTGAAAAAGGCAGGGTGTTGGAACTAGGACTTTGCTAAGATAGTCTATTAAATTCATGACAAGGGAACTAAAAAAAGAGGTATCCCAATGGCCCAGAGAAGTTGCGAAGAAGCTCTGTGCCCAATACTAGATCGATTACATGTCCAGTGCGGGAATAAAAACCCTAGACTATTCAAATGAGGGTGTGGGATTCATATTTTTAGTGCCCGTAAGATATAGAAATCCCTAATTGGTCTAGGATTCACAAAATTTCTCAAGCCCTGGCAAGAGAAAATATAAAACATCAAAGCAGAGTGACTCCTACAGTTCAAGGGACTATGATGAGAAAAAAAGAATATTTCATATCTTCCAAAATGAGTTCATAATATACAAAAGAGACGAAGAAGTGAACCAGTGTGAGGTAGAGCTCCCACACACAATGGAAAGAGTTTGTGTGCTACGAACTAGATATAACAGCAAATCAGAAAGAGAATTCTAGATATTTAAGTTAAAATGACGAAGGAGTTGACACCAAAAATATGATTCTTAAAAGGAAAAATTGATAAATTGTACCTCATCAAACTTTAAAACTTCTGCCCTCCAATAGACCCTGTGAAATGATGAAGATAAGCTACAGACTCGGGAAAAATATTTGCAAACCACATATTCAACAAAGTACTTGTATCTAGACAACACAGAAACTCTCAAAAACTGAACAGTAAAAAAAAAATTCATTTAGAAAATGGGCAAAAGATATGAACAGACATTTCACCCAAGAAGATAGACAGCTGACAAGCACATGAAAAGGCACTAGACATCATTAGCTGCTGGGGAAATGCAAAGCATTACAAGATATCACTGCACTCCTATCAGAATGTTGGTGAGGATACGGAGAAACTGGATCATTCACACAGTGCTAGGACATAGCCACTCTGGAATACAGTGGAGTTGGCTGTTTCATCTGAAACTAAACATGCAATTATCATATAACCCAGCAACTGAACTCCTTGAGCATTTATTCCAGAGAAATTAAAACTTTTTTTTTTTTTTTTAAGATTCCATCCATTTATTTGAGAGAGAGCAAGCAGGAGAGGTAGAGGGAGAGGGAGAAGCAGGCTCCCTATTGAGCAAGGAGCCTGATGCGGGACCGATCCCAGGATCCTGGGATCATGACCTGAGCCGAAGGCAGACGCCCAACAGACTGAGCCACCCAGGCGCCCCCAGAAATGAAAACTTATGTTCACACAAAACCTGTACATGAATAGTCGTAACAGTTCTACTCATATTAGCATAAAACTGGAAACAACCCAGATGTCTTCAGCTGGTGAAAGTTTAAACAACTATGGTATATTCAAACCATAGAGTACTACTGAGCAATAAAAAGGAGTGAACTATTAATTACAAACACAGCTCGGATAGATCTCAAGGGGATTATGCTGAGTGAGACAAGCCCATCTCAAAAGTTATATACTGTACTATCCAATGTATATAACATGCTTGATATAATAAGAGATAAAAATGGAGAACAGAT